GCATTGTCTTCGTACTGTCCACCTTTTGGCGTTCTCTGGGCTGACACTAGTCAGACTAGGCCATAAAAAGGCTGTCTCTCTCGTGTAGGCCCATACGTTTCAAAGACAATGCATATATTATCACAGCATGTTTTGTTTACATGTTCACCACAAGTACGTGTGGTTAATGCAGACTTGATTCCTTGCAAAAAGGTATCTGGTGTTTCAACATCTTAACACCTGTTTTATTGCCAGAAAGGCTAAAACCTATTCTTATTTTTCGTACTTTGATACTGGACAAAAAGGTCCCATGATTACTGCTCATTTGTTGCTGTTCCAAAATGAAAATGAGTTATCACTGCAACTCGTCACACACGCACAGAACAAAGATGAACTCTCGTGTAATAGTTTATGTTATTGCCGGTGTCTTGACATTGTCTGCATGTAAGAAGCTCTGTAAATTGGAATCTGTTGTGTCTGAATCCTACAAGGCGCAAAACCAAGACCCTCATTGCGGGATGCCACAAGACGTTGAGTTACATTGTTTTCATAGCTTTATTTTGGTGATTTTGAAAACGTTTTGGTTTAACCATGTTTGTTTGTTGTAGTACAGAGTTAGCCTAATAACTTTAATCTACATTGTCTTATGGCTGTCATTGTTTGACTTAGGATTTTTGCACACAGCGTTGAAATATGGTGTTTTTTTCTGGAAGACTTTGCTGTTTTTTCCAGGATTTTTCTTTTGCGTGTAGTCACTTTAAGATGTTTCTTGTTCATGTTTTTGTTTTGTTGCGGTTGCACCCGAGTCAAGAGCCGCATGGCTCACATGGTTATACCTGATAAATGAAACTGAAATTAAACTGAGTGGCGTCACATGGAGTGGTCACGGGGTAAAAACAAAGACAAAGCCCCCCTTCCCGCCCCTCCTGTATAACTTCTTGGCCGCCTTTGTCTCCCCAGTGGCGATGTTTACACACCACACCAGGTACTGCACTCGTTTGAGGCTGAGTCGACCGAGGGGAGGCCCATGACCGGTTCAGATAATCCGTCACTGGTGTTGGTCGTGAGCGGGAATCGAACTGGGGTCGCCAAGTTTGTAGGGCAGTGCGCTGACCGCTACAATACCGGTCACGGAGGTGCGGGTGATCACACGACCCGTCACTTGGACTGCTTTTTCTGTGGAGCTTTGTATGTGTACTGTATATTGGGGGGGTCAGACACGTTACAACAACAAACAATGCAAAAACGCGAAACTGTCGATGTTTGGGTGGCTCTAACGCATGGCCCCACCCAGCTGGAACCCATCGGAATAGAAACATTAAAACTCAAGACGGCGAGTGTTTGCACAGGTGACGTTTATCATAAACCGGTTTTACTTTTCCACGGTTCGTACGGGAACATCATTTTCACCGAGCGGAGACACAGAGGTAAAGAGAGTACACACACCACTTTGGCACGGACACACGTCATCGATCAAAAGCCGGCGAGGAAACAACCGCGCGCCCGCCCGCCACTGCAACTGAAATGCGAAATCAACGATGATTGGCCACGCGATCACGAGATATATACGCTGTGGAATCCTCGAGCCGTAGGTAGCCTCATCGGGACAACACGAAGAGCACTCACTACGAGCGAATGAGGCGATACGTAGCACTGCAGAAGCAACACAAATGTGTCCGACTCAACGTCTTGGCACCCGCTCGGCCATTTTTCCTTCAACCAGGTGTGGGGTCCTGTCAAAAAATGATTCGCGTGGGTGAGCCGGCGTCTGCAGCATCGGCCGCGGTGACCGCTCGGCTTCTGAGTGCGCGCACGCAACGACGCGCGGGGGTTCCAAGCGTGGCGCATTTCCTACCGCGGTATTTAACGGCACAGCCGTGCATTTGTATGCGAGGTTTCAGTTTGGTGTTTTAGTTTGGTGTTTTAACATCTTAACACCTGCTTTGTTGCCGGACAAAAGGGGAAAACCTATTCTCATTTGTATACAATCGTCCTCCCCTACTGGCAGACTAATGCCCCACGAGGTAGGGCCGGTGCTGCGTACACCTCGCACCGCACAGGGACAGCTGTTGCTGGCGGCAGGGTGGGGGGGGGGTCAGAATGGTTGAGACGAGATGTCGGGGTAAGGCGCTTCGAGTTGCCGCCGATGCGTTCGAGCGGCGAGCGCCCCGTGTGCATGCGAATCCCCTGCCGACGTGCGTCAACCGGCGGATCAAACAAAGGGCGCGTTCGGCACGCGGCGGGCGCGGCGAGTCGCCTGTCTTACGGGACGTGGTTCACGTGCGCTTCTCCGGTACACTTTGAAGAAAACGTGGGAGGGCGGGAGGTGGGGGCGGCAGCCAGGGGGGGGAAGGGGGCGACACCTCGACTTAGGGAGAGTGTTTGGCGGGCGCCGGAACCTCCTCGTCGTGGGGGCCCCCGGCGGAGCTCGGCGTGTCGGGCTCTGCGCCCGGCGCCGCCGCCGCCACCGCCACCACCTCCTCGCTGTTGGCGGCGTCATCGTCGCCGCTGGGCAGGCGGTCGAAGCCGCCGGGCCGCCTCCGTCGCGCCAGCCACGCGCCCACGTCGAACTTCCCACCGCTCTTCTTGCCTGCGTGACAACAGAGATATACGGGGGGGGGGGGGGGGGGGCTATGAGGCAGTGCCAGGGAATGTGAACACTTCAATTTTATTTGTATAATGCCAGATGCTTTGCAAGAAGAAAAATTTAATAAACTCTGTGCTATATGCACATGGAAACAAATGGGGTCTTAAGTCTTGACTTGAACAGGGGCAGAGTATCAGCTGCACGAAAGGGTAAGATGATCCTATGCAGCGCGAGCAGCAGAGGAGAAGGAGCGACCTCCCAAGAAACGAGGGCTGACTCTGGGCAGCTTAGCAAGGAGGCCTTTATTCCTGGAGCTAAGACGGTGTGCCAGATGGTAGATTGAGATGAGAGAGGAGAGGTATGGGAGGAAGATTCTAGACCATGAAGATATTTTATCACAATCCAATCTTAAAATAGATCCGAGACTTGACAGGAAACCAGTGGATAAATTGTGTGTGTCCCCCCCCCCCCCGCCGAATATCCGATGAGATGGTTGGCTATGTACCGTCTGAAATAAATGCAACATACATCTGTTTCCCCTTCGACAAATATTCAGGAAATATGGTGCACACCTAGCGGAAGGTATATTTGTTCCACTGGCCAGGTTTTTTAAATCCTTTATATTAAGTTCGCTTGCTTGCTTAGGACCGTGCAAATCTTTCGGTCGTTTTTTAACCCACTTCCCGTGATCCAATCGAGCTGACATTTTCCACACAGACTCGTTGTTCGTGACAATTAATGTTCGTGAAAATTTTTTTCCAAAATTGTACACTTTTTAGGACAAAAATATTATATTTAATTACCAATTGCTTAATGGTGCAATGCAATCATCTGACCCATAGGTGGCAGCCATCTCAAACCAGAGGATGAGAGGACTCTAGCCGCCACGCATATAAAGGATTTATAGTGAAAAACTTTGTTTTTACGGGTTATACTTATTCCTGGTTGTGCCGTACAGCTCTCCGATTGTACTTGAGATTGTCCCGCGTGTTTGGCACGGTATGTGATATTTAGCTCCGCATGCTGGGAAGTATCGTCAAGAACTCACACGAAATTTATTTTTCCAAGACGAAAGTACTCTGCAAACCTACTGGCTATCAACAAAGATTCGCTCATGAAGCCATCCAGATATATAAACACAGACACAATTTCAACCGAGAAGATGGGTACAAACTGAGTAATCATCGGAAGGACGTTATTAACAAGTTTAAGTCATAACTGGCTATGATGTTTTCATCCTACCTGCCGATGTTAGCTGTTATTTCCGACTCTCTGAGTTGCATTTCCAGGTTGGATGTCTTTGCGTTGACAGGCTGAATGTCTCACTAGCACATCCATCATTGCGGTGGTTCTCTTACATTGACATGCTAATCTCTCACAATACAATGGCCACCTCCACAGCCTCAGGACGCCCTCCGATCTTACATTTACATGCAAATACCATCTCTAGCCCTGCCCACTTACCCTTGGGCTACACACAATGCAATGGCCACATCCACAGCTTTGGTGGCGCCCTACAGGCAAATCTCTCACAATACAAAGGCTACTGTCCCAGCCTCTGTGGTTGGACCATCTCTAGCTCCACCCACCTACCTTGATGCACCCATCTCAGGCCTATATAAGACCTTGTCTCAGCAGTTTTCTCTCCCTCTCACCTGAAGACGATTGCTTGTGTTGAGATCGAAACGTCGTGATATTTTATTATTATTTTTCTATCTACGTGGCTTTACCGAAAGACCCGTATAATATAATTGACTGTTGCCATTCATATGGGGAGTAGTGGCGCTGTGGTTAGCACAATATACTACGAACCGTAACCAACGATTAATTCGCATCCACAGCTAACTTTTAAGTGGCAAGTGATATCTAAACCGGTCCCGTGCGTTCCCTAGGTTGACTCGGCCTTAAACGAGGACCTAGTGTGTAATGTGTGTAAACGACAGCACTAGGGGAGACAAAGGCAGCCGGGGCGTGGTGTTAAACCAACTACTGCCTCGTTGGGTCGTGCCCGTCTGAAATAGATGCTCACCGATTCAAAGCTTTCGTGACTGCAGGGATTCATCTTCTTGGTTCTTTCGGTAAAGTCACGTAGAAGGGAAGTAATAAAATAATAAAAATAAAACATAATAAAATAATTCTCACGACGTTTCGGCCACGAAGCAAGCAGCCGTTCTCATGTGAAGAACAGGTCTGTCGGGAAGACAGCGTCTGAATGAATTCAGACGCTGTCTTCCCGACAGACCTGTTCTTCACCTGAGGACGGCTGCTTGCGTTGTGGCCGAAATTATTTTATTATGTTTTATTTTTATTATTTTATTATTTCCCTTCCACGTGACTTTACCGAAAGAACCAAGAAGATAGATGCTCACCAACAGCACTTGTCCCCAAGCAAGGCGATACGGGGGATCTTTGTCAATGTATTTTCTCGTGGTACCTCTCAGAGAGCCGAGGAAACCTCCAGGAGACGACTCAGCCTCCCGATGTTCCTCCTTCTCCCCTGCAAGGCACAACAGCAGCGCCACAACCACAACGGTCAACATCGAAACTGCAAAGGCGCAGCGCGCAGTTTTGCACGGACGCGCGCAAACCACGGAACACAATTGGGGGAGGCAGCAGCGAGAACCTGCTGCAGCGACTGCCCCCAGCTCTGTGGCCCTACGTTGGGAAGTTTGGCCAACTCCATCAATGAGCGATGATGAGAATCAGAATATTCATACTGCAGGAGGAATCCGATGAGCTATGAAGCTCTTTATTCACAGATGTCCAGGAGTGAAAAGTACAAGAATGGCGACCAAATCACCCAAACGCATACAAACTAAAACCATCCCCACCCTACCAGACAAAGCCCAGAGGTATTAACTGATACCTAACGTTAAAAGAGAATCGTGAGAATGTTTTTCTTCTTTATACAAGTATAACCCGTAAAAACACAGTTTTTCACTATAAATCCTTTATATGCGTGGCGGCTAGAGTCCTCTCGTCCTCTGGCTTGAGATGGCTGCAATCTATGGGTCAGATGATTGTCTGCCAGTATTAAGCAATTGGTAATTAAATATTTAATTTGTTTTCCCTAAACAGTGTAAAATTTTGGAAAAAAAATTTCACGAAAATTAATTGTCACACACAACGAGTCTGTGTGGAAAATGTCAGCTCCATTGGATCACGGGAAGTGGGTTAAAAAACGAGCGAAAGATTTGCACGGTCCTAAGCAAGCAAGCGAACTTAATATAAAGGATTTAAAATATATTCGCCTGTAGAGGACGCGGGGATCGATCCCGCGACCTTTGGCATGGGAAGCGAGGGCGCTACCAACTGCGCTACTCCGCCACGGCCTGTGGACGGGTTACGCTCTGGGCTCCTATACTGTGACGTTCAGCCAAAGCCATAAATTAGTTCTATTTGAATATATGTAAAATAAAAATGTTTTGTCTAAAAAGTGTAAAATTTTTGAATTTGTTTTTCACGAACATTAATTGTCTGTCACAACGAGTCTGTGTGGAAAATGTCAGCTCGATTGGATCACGGGAAGTGGGTTAAAAAACGACCAAAAGATTTGCACGGTCGTAAGCAAGCAAGCAAGCACGCAAGCAAGCACGCAAGCAAGCAAGCACGCAAGCAAGCAAGCAAGTGAACTTAATATAAAGGATTTAAAAAACGACCGAAAGATTTGCACGGTCCTAAGCAAGCAAGCAAGCAAGCAAGCGAACTTAATATAAAGGATTTAAAAAGAAACAATTTTCATGAATCTTGGCCCAGTTAAGCCACTTGGGGGGCCCTAAACCTTTTTGCTCCAAGCCTGGCACCGCCACCGCGGGGATCGTGGGGGGAGGGCAGCCGCGCCGTCACCTGGCGCGGCGCGGTGCTTGCGGATACGGACGAGGAGTGCGGCGAGCGCCAGCACCACGACCGGCGCTGTGAGGAGCACCGCGATGAGCACCGGCGTGCGCAGCCCCCCGCTGGCGCCCGCCGATCCCACCGCCGCCGTGCCGGCACCGCCGCCGCCGCCCTCACCGGCACCGGCGGCGGTGCTGACGGTTCCGGATTTCCCCGACGCCAATTGGGGTGCTCCGGCACCTCCGGCACCACCTGCGCCACCCGAGCAGGGAGAGACGCCAAATTTAAACACAAAAAGCAGTTGACCGCGCCAACGCGCTGAGTTACACGAACAGCGGTGAATGCACGCGCTGAGACGAGTGGGGGTCGGGGGGGTGCTCTCGCCTCCGAGCGGATTCCGTGATGGCGAAGCGGCGTTGAGCGTGAGCCGAGCCGTGTGGGCTGGAGCGTCGCCGTGTGCCATGGACCCCGTGCTTCCTACAAGAAGAGGGGGTGGGGGGGGGGGTAGACACACACACGGTGTGGGGGGGGGCAGGGGTTGCTTGGCATTTTGGGCCTTCGGGCCTGCGCTGAGCAACCGCGATTGAACAAAAAACAAGCAAACGCTTGAGAACTTTTATAAGCGGTGGCTGAAACCTGGACTCGAACCGAGGGACCTGGCGGTTGCCGGCAAATCGTACGGAGCCATGTGGACCTCCGATTAAGCACGGTTGGCCATGTACGGTGCGAAAGAAGTTCAACATACGTACAACAACAGCCGCCATTCGCCACTAGGTGGCGGTGAAGTCGTCACGGCGCCTGTGCCGGGCCAGCTGCCCTTTGAGGCCACGTGAAGTGTCGAAGACTCTCTTCTGGCAGGAGGTCACGGGACAGACCCAGGTGCCACGGGTTGACCGACTGAGATGACTGCTACATGCACAAGCTGTGCCCCCGACTGTGCCACCTCGCCGCATTTTAGCTGCCCGGCGCTCCTCTCTGCCCTGCGTTGTTCTTGGGAGGGCGACTGCCTCCAACTGACCGGTAGCGTTCTTCACGAGCCTCCTCCACGAACATACATAACCAAAGTGCGGCGACGCGGGCGCACCCACCCACCGTTGCGAGCCGAGAACTTCCAGACGCGGTTGAGCCACACGTCGCCCACGTAGACGCCCTCGCCGTCGGGCGACACCGCCACATCGTGCGGCTCCGCAAATCCCTGCAACAGACACCGCACCGCACCACCACCAGCCACCACGTTAGCCCTTATACCCTCCGACCGTTCACCACCCAACGGATTCATCATCGTCATCACATATCTGCCCTAGCTTATTCCAGACCAATTCAGAGCTTATTGGTCACCCCGCGCCCCTTATCAATCTCAACGTTCATCCTACAAAGTCACCATCATGAGGGAGAAATACAAACAAATAGGCACTCACCAGTACTAGACTCACCACTACGACACTCGCCACTAGTACACTCACCATTACTCTCACCACTTGTACACTCACCACTGCAAACCTGTCAACCCCTTATCAGTGCCCTACCTTATTACAGACCAATTCAGACCTTATTGGTTACCCCGTGCCCCTTATCAATCTCAACGTTCATCCTACAAAGTCCCATCACAAGGGAGAAACACAAACAAATAAAACTAAATTTGTGCACATATTGAAACGGCTGTAAGCCGTATGGACCTGAAAACTCAATAACCCTGTACAAGAATACGGGGTAAACCGTATGGGTTGACACGGTATATCATCATCGTCATCGTCGGCTGCCACAGGTGTGTGTGTGTGTGAGTGTTGTAGTTTTCGTGAAAACATGCGAAGCATCTTTAGATTGAACGAAAGGACAATATTTCCCAGAATGGCGATAAGTAGCCTAACGAAATCATCTTCTTGGTTCTTTCGGTAAAGTCACGTAGAAGGGAAGTAATAAAATAATAAACATAAAACATATAATAAAAATAAAACATATTATTTTATTATTTCCCTTCTACGTGACTTTACCGAAAGAACCAAGAAGATGAATCCCTGCAGTCATAAAAGCTTTAAATCGAAATTTAACGAAATCATGTTTGCTCTGCGCATCCTTGTGGCCGGGCGTGGTGCTGGCCACCCTCCCCCTCGTGTGCCACAGTGACGGCCTTCATAGGTGCTGCTCGCTAACAGCACTTGCCCCAACAGCCTGTTAAGGCTAAACGGGGAAACTTTGTTTTTGTGCATTTCTGTGCCTCTGGATCCTTGTGCATCTGGGGGTTTGTATCTGCCTGCCTCTGTGTGTATGCGGGTCTGTGTGTCTGTGCGTCTGTCTGCGTCTATGTGTGTGTCTGTGTGAATGCGTCTGTGTGTGTGTGCGTCTATGTGCTTGTGTGTGCGTCTGTCTGCATGCGTGTGTGTGTGTCTGTCTGCATGCGTCTGTGTGTGTGTGTCTGTCTCCATGCGTCTGTGTGTGTGTGTGTGTGCGTGTGTGTGCGTCTGTCTGCATGCGTCTGTGTGTGTGTGTGCGTCTGTGTGCGTGTGTGTGCATATGTCTGCATGCGTCTGTGTGTGTGTGCGTCTGTCTGCATGCGTCTGTGTGTGTGTCTGTGTGTGTGTCTGTGTGTGTGTCTGTGTGCGTGTGTGTGTCTGTGTGTGTATCTGTCTGTGTGTGTGTGTGTGTATGTCGGCGCATCGGCGCTGGGGGCCCTGCCTGCTCCGGGCGGAAGGTGCCGATCTGGCGCCCGGTCTCGAAGTCGAGGATGAACCCCTGCGTGGGGTGGTGCTCGTTGGCTCCGTTCACGGCGAAGAGGACGCCGCCTGCGGCACGGGGGGGGGGACACCCGGTGGGGGTCAGTACGTTCGTTCACCGCGCGGTTCGGCACGGTGTCCGACGTTTCGTTCCACGCGCTGAGCAACACGCGGCGCAAAACCCCCGATATACATCGGGCAGCTGTACAGGACAGACGCGAAAGCTACGCAATGCCAGTTCGCTTTTTTTGTCGAGATAAGTGTGGTTTGGACAGATCAAGGTTGTTTGAAAATCAATAGGCTTGTGTACCCCCCTGCCAGCGTCGCAGTTTGTGCTCTGTACCGGGCTCCTATTGAAATATATGTAAAAAAATGTAATCAATAGCATGGGTACGCATTTAGATGTCATCGTCTCACTCACGAGCAGAACTGCAACGCGTACATTCTCCACGTTCATGCACTGCGATGAGGGTGGGGGAGATGCGACTCCCAAACGTGTTACATACACGCAACCACGACACACGTGGCATCGAGATGATGATTTAAAAGTTGCATCGCTCCCGGTGGCTTCCTAACATCGGAAGGAAGAGCGTTCCAGACGGCCGCGGTAGCGCGTCCGAAAGCGTCCGCGCGATCGCGGCGACCGTCTCTGTTCGAAAGCCACCGCCACCGCCGCCGCCACCACCGCTGCAAAGACGGCCGATGTTGGCGCGATGGTGGTTTTACGCTCCTTGTCGAGATCATCGACGACGGCGCTGCGCGGCTTCCCCCCCGCGCCCCACACTGACCGTGCGCGGGCGAGTAGGAGGCGGCGAACACCCGGCCCCCGAACTCCGGGAGCCGGAGCTCCTTGAGGAGCCGCCCGCTCTCCGGGTGGAAGCAGACGACGCGGCCGTTCTCGCGGTCCGAGGCGCACACCTGCGCGCCGCCGCGCGCCATCGTCAGGCTGTGCGGTACGCGCAGGCCCGAGCCCGTCCTGCCACCCTCTGTGGAGAAGCACGGGCGGGTAGAGAGGGGGGGGGCACGCAAGCGGGGGTCGCACACGAGGTGAGGGGTGGTGGGGGTGTGGGGTGGTCACGAAGGGGTCACGGAGGGGTCACGGAGTTGTCTGAGATCACGGTGTGCCTGCTGGAGGTCAACATTTTATTTAATTTGTTTATTAACCATGCGGGCTTGTTAATGGACGATGGTAACACAAGCACTATACAGATATGATGAGCCCATCGTGTACTATAGAACTATGGAACTACAGTAAAACCTTGGATTGCGAGCATAATTCGTTCCGGAAAAGTGTTTGTAATCCAAAGCACTCGTATATCAGTTGTGATCACGTGACGCTCGGCAGACAAAGCGTATGCACGTACTACTCGTATTGCAAGACCTCGCTCGTTTATCAAATTAATATTTAGTAAAAATAATTGCTCGTCTTGCAAAACACTCGCAGACCAAGTTACTTGCAATCCAAGGTTTTACTGTATATGATAAACCACTGTACGCTGCACACCTTCAAAAGAGGAGGAAAAGAAAAACTACACGAACTCTCTCTCTGCTGAAGCTCTCTTGTCGTGGCATTTAGCTTCCTGAACTTGATGCCACACGCACGAATAGAACTATACCAGGGGTAGGGGTCAAACAGGGGTCACAACGAGGTGACGCAAGGTACAAAGAGGGTGTAGCAGTCGTAATAATCGCGCTAATTTGTAACGCGCACAATTTTCACTTGCCCCGAAGGCAGCGACACCGAGGCATGGAGGCCAGCGTAGTGGTGGTGGTGGCGGTGGTGGTGGCGGTGGTGGTGGTGGTGGCGGTGGTGGTGGTGGCGGCGTTCGAGGTGCATGAAATGACACCAGACTCGAGTCTCGGTCAACTCGCACGTTCAGCACGTGATGCAATGCAATGAGGTCAGGCGGTAACATCCCAGTGTCACTCAGTGACGCAACTTGACTTTGCTTAACACCTCAATGTTAATGTTCCGTTCGATCGGGGGGCTACTACTGCTGTGTGATGTTAGCTTGGTGTGGTCTGGGACTGTTGTTGTTGTTGGTGTTGCTGCCTTGGCCAAGCTTGATACATCGAACTTGCGTATTTAATTGCTTTATTATTTATTTGTAGTTAGTTACGTGCTTACCATTTTCTAAATGTTTCACTCCTATCGAGGGTTGTGTTTGTATTGTGCTTGCTGTTGTTGTAACTTGCTAGACCCCACCCCCTTACTGGACATCTGGCAAAAAAAGCTTCACAGCTCATCGGATTCCTCCTCCTGCAGTGTAAACAACGATTCTCACTCTCCCTCTTTCAAATAAAACAACAACAACAACAATGTATTCGCTGAAACAACAGCTGAGTCACCAAACGAACCGTTCAAGAGCCTCATTTACAGGTGGCGCCCACCGCCGCCCCCGGCGTCCCAACTAGAGGCCGACCGAAACTGAATTTCTGGTTTCGGCCGAAACCGAAAGTAAAAAATTTACTTTCGGCCGAAACCGAAAGTAAACCGAAAGTAAAAAATTTACTTTCAGCTGAAACCGAAAGTTAGAAATTTACGTTCGGCCGAAACCGAAAGTAAAACGAAAGTAAAAAATTTACCGAAAGTAAAAAATTTACTTTCGGCCGAAACCGAAACCATGCCGAAAGAGGCCATCTGCCAACTTTCGGCGCCGAAACCGAATTTCGTTCGGCCTCTAGTCCCAACCGAATCTACGTCCCCAGCCGTACCCACCTCCCCAGCCTTACCTGCGTCCCACTCGCCCAGGAAGTCCCCGCGGGGCGAGTAGTGGACCACGCGGTGGTTGCAGTAGCCGTCGGAGACGTAGAGGTGGCGCGAGAGCGGGTGCACCGCCACGTCCGTGGGCTGGCACAGGCGGCGCGCGCCCCCGCCGGGGCGCCAACGCTCGCCCAGCGCCATCGACGCGGGGCCCCGTCCCCCGGGGCCCAGCTTGAACACCTGGGCAGTGGGGGAGGGACAGGGCAATGGTGAACACGGCTGCGTGTGTGCGTGTGCGCGTGTTGGGGAGAGGTGGTGCATCAGCCAGTCATCTCGGTCATCTCGGTCAGTCGACCCGTGGCACCTGCTGGGTCTGCCCAGTAACCTCCTGCCAGCGGGCGTTCGACACTTCACATGGCCTCAAGGTGCACTTGGCCTGGCACAAGCGTCGTAGTGACGTCACTGCCACTTAGTGGCAAATGGCGGTTGTTGTTGTTGTTGTTGGGGGGAGCGGTGGCGCGGCGGTTAGCGCGCTGCGCTACGAACCCGGCGACCCGGAGTTTGATACCCGCTCACGACCACCAACACCAGTGACTATTATCTGAATCGGACCTGGGCCTCCCCTAGGTCGACTCAGCCTCAAATTAGTACCTGGTGCGGTGTGTAAACATTGACACTGGTGGAGACAAAGGCAGTCGGGCGTGGTGCTGGCCACCCACCCCCTCATGTACTGTGCTGGCCTACATAGGTGCTCGCAAACAGCACTCTGTTAATACTATCGGGTAATTTGTGTTGTAATTGTGTTGGAGGAGTGGTGGTGCAGTGGTTAGCCCAGTGACCCGAGTTAAATTCTAGTCCACGTCCAAACATCAGTGGCGAGTGTTATCTGAACCGGTCTTGGGTACCCAATCATTCACCAAACCACACTAACAAGCGTGGTGAAATATGGTCTATAGAGTGGACATTAGTACGGGGAGTGCAGGTGAGTGCGGGTCAGTGCAAGTGAGTGCAGGTGAGTGTGGGCCAGTGTGGGTGAGTGCGGGTGAGTGTGTGGGTCAGTGTGGGTGAGTGCGGGTGAGTGGGCGGGTCAGTGTGGATGAGTGCGGATGAGTGTGTGGGTCAGCGTGGGTGAGTATGCGGGTCAGCGTGGGTGAGTGTGGGTGAGTGTCATGTGCCCTCACCTGATGCAGTGCCACGTCGGTGACCCACAGATTGTCATCGGGGTCAACGCTGAGGCCATGCGGCATGAAAAACCTGGAGGCAGAGGTAAGCACAAACACACAAAACCAGAAATCCCCATACAGCCTTCAGCAGACTGCATTTTGCAATGTGGTTAGCGTGTCGATAGTGTGTGGATAGCATGTGGTTATTGTATGGTTACCGTGGCATTAATATATGGTCACTATTAGCATGTTGTATGTAGCTAGCGTGTGGTTAGTGTGTGGTTAGTGTGTGATTAGCGTGCAGTTAGCATGTCATTCGCGTGTAGTTAGCGTGTAGTTAGTGTGTCGTTAGCGTGTCGTTAGCGTGTATTTAGCGTATCGTTAGCGTATCGTTAGCGTGCAGTTAGCGTGTAGTTAGCATGTCGTTAGCGTGTCGTTAGCATGCAGTTAGCATGTCGTTAGCATGTCGTTAGCGTGCGTTGCTGACGTGTCACGGCCTGCCGATCCGAGCAGCTCCCCGGTGCCGGGGTTGATGGTCAGGATGGTGTCCTCACGGATGGGTCCACGATCCCCGTGCCGGAACGCGTGCCTCTCGTCAAACGAGCTGCCCACACGCGGTCACACAGAGCCACCGTCGGTTAGCGACGCCTCGCGACCATGGCGGTCGCACAGAGCCACAGTCGGTTAGCGACGCCTCGCGACCACGCGCGGTCACACAGAGCCACCGTCGGTTAGCGACGCCTCGCGACCACGCGCGGTCACACAGAGCCACAGTCGGTTAGCGACGCCTCGCGACCATGCGCGGTCACACAGAGCCACAGTCGGTTAGCGACGCCTCGCGACCATGCGCGGTCACACAGAGCCACAGTCGGTTAGCGACGCCTCGCGACCATGCGCGGTCACACAGAGCCACAGTCGGTTAGCGACGCCTCGCGACCATGGCGGTCACACAGAGCCACAGTAGGTTAGCGACGCCTCGCGACCATGGCGGTCACACAGAGCCACAGTCGGTTAGCGACGCCTCGCGACCATGCGCGGTCACACAGAGCCACAGTCGGTTAGCGACGCCTCGCGACCACGGCGGACGCACAGAGCCACCGTCGGTTAGCGAGGACTCGCGACCACGGCGGACGCACAGAGCCACAGTCAGTTAGCGAGGACTCGCGACCACGGCGGTCGCACAGAGCCACAGTCGGTTAGCGAGGACTCGCGACCACGGCGGTCGCACAGAGCCACAGTCGGTTAGCGAGGACTCGCGACCATGGTGGACGCTACCGCAGAGAGCACATTTCCCCAGCCACAACCCCTGGTCCTATCGATAACTATATAACTATAACTCTGACACCAACGCTAAATACACAGTCCGAGTCATAGCCCGGGCAATAACTCAAAAACCCGAATCCCTAGCCTTAATAATAACTGTAGTTCTGATTGTAGTCTTAGCCTTAATCCTCATCACAGACATAACGACAGCCCTCGTCTTAACCCAGATCGTAGCCTGAACACTAACCTTAGCCCTAAACCTAAAAATATAAAAAAAATTGCCATAACCACATCAGTTACCATAATTATAACACTAGCCATAATAATAACAAATTATAACCCTAACACTGCCCCTATTGAACCGTGTCATCACACGTACACACCCCCTCTTTTCATCTCACACACATCCACTCACCCTATCACATTTTCATTACACACAACAACAAATGCCGTCTGCCAGTAAGTGGCGATGGCGTCACCACGGCGCTTGTGTCAGGCTAGGTGCACGTTGAGGCCACCGAGCAGGTGCCGTGGGGTCGACTGAGACAAACACACGCACACGGGCATCTTCACCTCTCATCTCCCTCCACAGCTACCGCCCCCCCATCTCTCCACCCCCCCCCCGCGCCCTCACCTGCCGTCCCAGACGCGCGCTCCGCGGTGAAACAAGTGCAGGTTGTTCTTGGAGTCGACGGCGACGCCGGAGACGGAGCCCAGGCCGAGGTTGTCCCCCGGCCACCCGGGGCCGCCCGCTTCCCTCAGCATCACTCCTGCACGGCGACACGCCGCGCGGGCGGGTGGTGGGGTGGGGAGAGAACAAACCGCGGTCACTGCGGCGATCGCGACAGGTGACGTCTACGGTGGGCTACGCACGGTGCTCGAAAGAAGCTCACCGGACGTAGGTCGCTCAAGGTTATCGCCAAATGGCGCTCTTTTTTTTGGCGGAGACAACGAGAGGTGGCGTCTTGTCGTTCTTGTGGGGGACGAGACGTCAACAAACGTCCATGCTACCTCATGTACAAATGTGACCCTGTTGGCGAGCGCCTATGAAGGCCGTCACGGTGCTCGAGTGGGTGGGTGCGGCCAGCGCCGCCGAAAACCGGGGGCCGCCACCTTCGTCAACTCGGTGCTGATGTTTAGACTCTGCGCTCGGTCCTCGTTTAAGGCCGAGTCGACCTCGAGGAGGCTCAGGACCAGTTGAGACATCACGCGGCAGTGGTGTCAGCCATTGCCGCGAATCGGACTCTGGTCGCCGCGACTGACATCAGCGGTGAGTGATAACCTGCAGCACCGCTCTCCATTCACAAAGACAAATATCCCCCATGTAGCCTTGAGCAGGCCGTTGGGGCAAGTGCTGTTAGCGAGCACCCCTTAAGGCCAAGATGGCACACGAGGGGGTAGGTGGCCAGCACCACGCCCGGCCGCCTTTGTCTCCCGAGTGTCTAAATTTACACACGGCATAATTTCAGGCTGAGTCGACCTCAGGGGAGGCCCAGGACCGGTTCAAATACTCGCTACTGTTATTGGTCGTGGCCGGGTCCGTAGCGCAGCGTGCTGACTGCTGCACCATCGCTCCCCACACACGCGCACAACAAAGACAAAGGTCCCCCATATAGCCTTAACAAGACTGTAGGGGCAAGTGCTGTTAGCGAGCACCTAGAAAGGCCAGCATAGCACACGAGGGGGTGGGTGGCCACCACTACACCTGGCCGCTTTTGTCTCCCCAGTGGCGATGTTTACACATCGCACCAGGTACTCATTTGAAGCTGAGTCGACCTAGGAGAGGCCCAGGACCGGGTCAGATAATCGTCACTGGCGTTGGCCGTGAGTGGGAATCGAACTCGGGTCGCCACGTTCGTAGCGCAGCGTGCTAACTGCTACACCACCGCTCCCCACACACGTGACCGGCTGGTCACCCCGCCAGTGGTTTCGCCGACGATACCTCGGGCGTCCGAGCCTGCCTCGTCCACCGCCTGCTCCAGCATCCTGAGCGACTCCTCCAGATCGGTGCCGCGCCTCTCCTGCCCCACCTCCTCCTCCACCACCTCCACCTCCTCCTCTTCCTTGTCGCTGCCCGGGGCGGCCGTGGGCTCTCGCCGCGGCGGTGGCATCGCCGGGCCACCGCCGCCTTCCTCCGCCATCGCGGGGACCCCGCGGACTTCCACGCCTGAGCCGGACAGCCCGCTGCCCGTCGCCGTCACCGGCGGGCACCTCCGAGAACTCCTCCACCTCCTCCTCCTCCTCCTTGCCAGTGGGGACCTGGCCGGTGGGGTCCTGAGGTAGTGCATCGCGCGGTGGGAAGAACCGTGGGCCCTGAACGTCAGAGTGGGGCAACCACACAACGTGAACCTCAAACCATCGTCGTCACCGCCAGCGCCGCTTAATATTTAGACCGATGTTCTTCATTGCAAGGCCACCGCGGACCACTGGCGGCCCCCTGGTGGCCGTTAGCGCGACTCCTGACGTGCGGCCCCCCACCCCACCTACCCCTCCAACAATAAACAAAGAGTGAAAACACGCCCCATCATCGTCATTGTGCTGCTGTCAAACCCCCAACGGTTTACAAATGGTGTGGCACGGCACCCTCACACTCATGATGTCTCATCGGCGAAAGTGCCCCCCCCCCGCGCTCCTCCCCCCCTGAAAATGAGTGAAGAACACTGATTTAGAGCATGGCCTCCCACGCGGTAACATCGAGGTGTCCCACGATATGGAACGCCCAGTGGCACGAGGTTAACGCAGCACCGGCCTGCCAGCGGCCGCCCGTCTACCAGCAGGGAAGCGACGTTGCTCGATTTGCGACGCGTCTCGGCAGTACGGCGAGTGACCTTCGATTAGTAAGGGTCAATGCTCAGCCATGAAAATTCCATGTTTCTACGACGAGGACCTGTATATCCATAAAGCGACATTGCTCGGTGGCCACGCGTCTCGGCTGTACGGCGAGTGGCCTTTAGTAAGGGTCAATGCCCAGCCTTGAAAATTCCATGTTCTTACGGCGGGGACCTGTATATCCATAAGACAAAAAAAACTAGTTTGGTAGAGGGTAGAATCGCGGGAGTAAAGGGGAGAAGAAATGCCAGAAAAATGGCAAAGCATGCTTAACATCGGCACGCCTTCATCCAGCGTCAGATTGACACGTGGCTGCGAATGATCAATGATATGTTTGTGTTATTGGTGGAGTCTGCGCTGGGTTATTGGCACCTGCTGCTGCTGAGGGTGGAGAGTGCGAGGGTCCTCATCACCGCCGTGGACATCGTCATCGTCGTCGTCGTCGTGATCATCGTCGCGAGCGGAGGAGAGCGCGGGGGTTGGGGGGTTGTACTTGTGCCGGAACACGGGGCCTTGTGGATCCGTGAGCAGGCGCGAGATGAGAGAAGACAGCTCCTCTGCACGTAGACACGAATACAAAGATCCCCCCCCCGTGTAGCCTCAACCAACTGTTGGGGCAAGTGCTATTCGCGAGCACCCTCGAAGGCCGGCAAGGCACATGAGAGGGGGAGTGGCCAGCACCACGCCCGACATTGATGGTGATCATGTCGACGAAGATGATCTTGATGATCTAATCTAATTCACATAAAAAAATTATAGAGCGCCTTCAACTCAAGGCGCTTGAGATAGCTTTACAATACAGTGACGGAATAACAAAATTATTTAGTCTTTGGTTCTTTCGGTAAAGTCGTGTAGAAAGAAATAAAATAAAATAATAATAGAAGACGACGTTTCGATTGCAACACAAGCAACCATCATCAGGTACAAATGAATTAGAAAACAAACATAGTAAACTTGGAAATATAATGCAATACAACACAGAGAGTCGGCCAACACAACAGTCAACACCCCACCTGGTTGATTACGTTCTTCAAAAGATTGCTACATATGCGAGAGACAAAACATAGACACGGAGACACACAGACAGACACACAAACAGAGAGAGACTCACTGTTTGTTTTCTTATTCATTTTTACCTGATGATGGTTGCTTGTGTTGCAATCGAAACGTCGTATTCTATTATTATTTAACTTAATTTATTTCTACGTGACTTTACCGAAAGAACCAAAGAGTAATTCCTACAGCCACGAAAGCTTCGCATCTAGTTAGAATTATTTAGATGGAAGGTGGCGCACAAGGTTTCATATTTTGTACAATATCTGGGTTCGTCTGGGTCTGTCGGTGACCCCGGGAAAATGTTTCCGTACACGGCACAGCCACATTTAAGTGTACTTTGCGCTATGGCTGTGGCTATTCAGCGATGCACCCACTCCAGTCGTATATACAGGGACTCCTATACTTACGAACGAGTTAGGTCTGTTCGTAAGTCCAACTTTACGCCTGCCGATTACAAACATGTTGTACGGCATGTACACTAAACACGGGGGATGGCTTTAAAAGTTGTAATTCTCCTGTAGACGTAGATGCCACTGATTCTTCACGTTCTGCAGATGTAGATGCCACTGGTTCTTCATCTTCTGTAGATGTAGATGCCACCAATTCTTCACGTTCTGCAGATGCAAATGCCAGTGGTCCTTCACGTTCTGCAGATGTAGATGCCACCGATTCTTCACGTTCTGCAGATGTAGATGCCACTGATTCTTCATCTTCTGTAGATGTAGATGCCATTGGTTCTTCATCTTCTGCAGATGTAGATGCCACTGATTCTTCACGTTCTGCAGATGTAGATGCCACTGGTTCTTCACGTTCTGCAGATGTAGATGCCACTGATTCTTCACGTTCTGCAGATGTAGATGCTACTGGTTCTTCATCTTCTGCAGATGTAGATGCCACCGATTCTTCACGTTCTGTAGATGTAGATGCCACTGGTTCTTCACGTTCTGTAGATGTAGATGCCACTGGTTATTCACGTTCTGTAGATGTAGATGCCACTGGTTCTTCATCTTCTGCAGATGTAGATGCCACCGATTCTTCACGTCCTGCAGATGTAGATGCCACTGATTCTTCATCTTCTGCAGATGTAGATGCCACTGATTCTTCACGTTCTGCAGATGTAGATGCCACTGGTTCTTCACGTTCTGTAGATGTAGATGCCACTGGTTCTTCATCTTCTGCAGATGTAGATGCCACTGGTTCTTCACGTTCTGCAGATGTAGATGCCACTGATTCTTCATCTTCTGTAGATGTAGATGCCATTGGTTCTTCAGCAGAAGTAGATGCCACTAGTTATTCACGTTCTGGAGATGTAGATGCCACTGGTTCTTCACGTTCTGTAGATGTCACTTGTTCTTCACGTTCTGTAGATGTCACTGGTTATTCACGTTCTGCAGATGTAGATGCCACCGATTCTTCATATTCTGCAGATGTAGATGCCACTGGTTCTTCATCTTCTGCAGATGTAGATGCCACTGGTTCTTCACGTTCTGTAGATGTAGATGCCACTGGTTCTTCACGTTCTGCAGATGTAGATGCTACCACCACCATCTATTGCGTGGCGGTTGAACTTATGACTCTCGGTCCAAACCGGCAACTGGACATATGGACAGGTTTGTTCGTATCTCTGAAATGATGAGTCCTCTGTACCAGTGACTAAGAGACTAGGAGAATGTTTGTTGACGGAATCAAGCGCACCCCCCCCCCCGCACCCCCAATAATGTTGCTGTGTGTTGGGGCAGGCACCTGGACTTGTTGCTTCCTCTTCCTCTTCTCGTTTTCTCGGCCTCGGTGCTGGGAGCTGCTCCAGGATCCGTCGGATCAGGATCCTGTACGCGAGGGATTTTAACACAACCGGTTAAAAAACAAATACAAAGATCCCCCGTACAGCCTGGACAGACTGCTGGGGCAAGTGCTGTTAGCGAGTAGCACTTATCAAGGCCGGCATGGCTAATGAAGGAGGTGGGTGGCCAGCACCACGCCCGGTCGCCTTTGTCTCCCCACTGGCAATGTCTACATACCACACTGAAAGAACCAAGAAGATAAATCCCTGCAGTCACGAAAGCTTTAGATCGAGATTTTTTGTTATTTTATGCCACCGTGCGGACGGAGACGGAGTGATTTAGGAAACCTGCACCGTCGACTCAAGCCGCCGCGTCTTCTGGGATCACAAGTCCGGTATTGGTGCTACCGAGCGTTACACCGCCGCCGCGGCAGCGAGCCTCCCTACGTGGTGGTCCACGCGAACCGAACCACGCGGCGCATCCCACGAAACCTTCGGCTGTGGGAAAGCGACCGGGGCTGCGCCGCCGCCGCCGCCGCCTCCTCCTCCCTCACCGTCTCGCCAGCCGCTCCGCGAGCTTCCTCTCCAGAGCGGTGGCCGAGTCCCACGGCACGTTGGCGTGAGCGCGCGTCACCCCGGGCCTGGCGCGCGGCACAAGACAAAGATCCCCCATATAGCCTTAACAGACTGTAGGGGCAAGTGCTGTTAGCGAGCACCTATGAAGGCCTCAATGGTACACGAGGGGGTGGGTGGCAAGCACCACGCCCGACCGCCTTTGTCTCCCTAGTGGCGATGTTTACACACCGCACCAGGTATTCATTTGAGGCTGGGTCGACCTAGGGGAGGCCCAGGACCGGTTCAGATACTCGTCACTGGTGTTGGCCGTGAGCGGGAATCGAACACACGCGCCACGACGGTCTGGGTCACACGCGGACCCTGGCCAGGCCGAGGCTTGGCCCCTGTCACAGTAACGTGGAATTGTCGCCACTCACCTAGGGCTGAATGCAGGAGATTAGTTTGAGTGGGGAATCACTTTTTTTTTTAATCACATTCAGTCGTGAAAAGATCCCATGGCTTACGATCACCGGGAATGGTCGTGTGGATGAGTAACCATGTTCCTGATGGGTTTGAGCCAAGAAACTTCGTGAGAAACTGTGCTTTGTACTGCCAAGTCCCATACCAAATACGTACATATATTTAACATTTTGGTTAACGTAATCTCTGGGTTCGAATGAGGTGTAAACAGATGGAGATCAAATTTCGATTTAAAGCTTTTGTGACTGCAGGGATTCATATTATTGGTGCTTTCGGTAAAGTCACGTAGAAGGGAAATAATAAAATAAGATTTTTTTTTTTATATTTTATTTATTTCCCTTCGACATGACTTTACCGAAAGAACCAAGAAGATGGAGATCAGTCCACTTGCCCTTTAAAGGGAGTTTCACAACCCAGCTGAGTGGTGATCCACCAAGCCCCCCGCTGCCTCCACAGCTCTGGATCCCAAGCAGCCGCGTGCAGCGCAGTCACCACCGCCCGGCTAATGACACCAATGCGTACGTGCGTGTGCGTCGAACTTTCTTTCGCACCGTACGTAGCCAAACGGAGGTGCGGGAGTTATCGGCGCAATCGAAACAAACCTGGGGACGAAACAGTGTCGTTCGAAAATAAAATACTCTGACAATAGGATAATAAATAAAAAGGAGCATAATTTTTTTTTTTACCGATTGGCCGTCTGATAACCGGGGATGGCGTTGCGGCTCCAGGCCAGTGCCTGGTAACTGTCCACGTCGGGTCTTCCGGCCACAGCCGCGAGCGGACGGGAGAGCGTCCCGTAGCCGGGAGCCCCCACCCGGCGCGGACCCCCCACTCCACCGCCACCCACCGCCGTCGCCACCGCCGCCGCCGATCGGCCACCGGCGGCTGCGAGGGACGCCGGGAAACTCCGGGACAGCGCGGCGGGCGCCTCCATGGTGCACGACATGAAGGGGTCGCCCACGTCGGCGTCGACGGAGTACATCACGTAGAAGTTGCACATCTCGTCGTGAGACGTGGAGCTGGTCGTCAGGCGACGGGGGACGGGGAGGACACCGGGGGGATGCAGGTTGGGGGGGGGGGAGGGGTGTTGGGAGTGAGGATGCCTTGGTCAACGAATCGATCAATATTTATTGATCACGAGCCTCATTGTGGAGAATAACAGTCACGAAGAAAACGATAATGATTCATCCAAAATAGAGTTTTTTTTGGGTGAGATCGAATAAATATATAAATGTGTCGTTAAACCCGCCACCACCCGACACAGCCAACTAGTAAGGTTTGTCATGTAAACAGAACGTGCCAATTCGCTACAAGTACAGCACACCGCTGTGTTGGAGAGCAAAGCCACAACGTTTACAATCTGTTTACGTGAGAAACCTTACTAAATTGGCCGTGCATATATTTACGCAATCTAACCCAAACAAACCTAGATTATGGATATTGGTCGCGAAAGCCCTACTACTCCATGTTAAATTTCAACAATGATTTACGTTGGTTAGGCGCCTTTTCATTCGCAGATCCCAATGCGCCGAGCGAACACTTGGCACCGGCAAAGCCGTCTGGGAGCGCTAGAGGTGAATGTGGAAGGACGCGGACGCTCCAACGCACGGGATACGAAGAGTGACAGGGGTGGTCAGAGAAGACCCTGGGTTCGATGGTAGGTTTCAGCCGCTGCCTGTGCCATTAAACCGAGACCACATTTTACGAAACACGTGAATTGGTCTACACACCCAGGCAACTGCCCTTTGCAGAGCACGTGGACACATTTGTCCATCGAGAGCAATAGCGGCGCAGGGGTCGGAGGAGAGCTGAGCTGGCACCACGAGAGACTGGCGCTAGTTCCGGCGGCCTTTGGGCCGCACGCTGGGCAATTGAAGCCGGGATTTAAATGGGTCGATGGTCAGAGCCAGAGGTCGCAAACGGGTTTTGATTCCTTACCCGTACCCGTACGCGGCCGCACCAGGGTCGCAAATGGGTACCCGTACCCCGCCGGGTATGGGTACCCGTTCCCTACCCGTACCCTACCCGAAATGAGTGGCAAAAGGGTTACTCACCAGTGACTCACGGCCTACCCATAACCCGTACCCGGCCGCACCAGGGTCGCAAACGGCTACTCGTACCCGTACCCGGCCAGGTACGGGTAGCCGGGTATCGTGTAGGGTACGGGTATCGGGTACCCGGTTGCGACCTCTGGTCTGAGCCCAGTCGCCGTTGACTTACACAGAGGCCCCATACGTATCGGCTTAAGATACAGAGAGGCCCAAAGACTCGCTGAGATACTCGGGTAGAGAGCGACAGATCGACACAGGAGCGCGCAGATGCAGAGAGACTGGGCCGCGATTAAACCGGGAGTCGCAGGTCTGCCGAGTTGACGGTCCCAGTCGAGCCACTGATGACTGACTGCACAAGAAAGCACCTTCAATGGTATGCTGTCGTTTTTGTTGTACAATAAAAGTTGTACTTTTATTTTTTTACCCACGTGACTTTACCGAAAAAACCTAAGAGTATGAATCCTTGCAGTCACGAAAGCTTCAAATCTAGAATTGTTGTACTAATTTAGCTCAACTCCACATCTGCGAATTGAAAGTGTTACCTGCCACGGGACAAACACTCCTCTCTCTCCCTCTCAACTCCCCCTGCACCCACCCATCACCCCCCAATCCTCTTCCCACCCTCCTCACCCAATGAAGGTTGCACTGTTGCGTCCCCCTCCCGCTGAACCCTCTCTGCACGCATCATATCCCCTACCAACCCCCAACCATCCCCCCACCAACCCCCAACCATCCCCCCACCCCCCCCTCACCCGATGAAGGTTGGGCTGTTGCGTCCTCTCCCGCTGAATTCGCACCGCGCCGCCACCGTGTCGCCGGGGATGATCTCCAGGGGTCGCGCGATCGGATAGAACGCCTGCCGTGGGAGTGCACGACACGGTGACACCCACCCCTCCAAACCTGTGCAGCGTCACACAGACCGCTGCGCCGAGTGCTGTTAGCGAGCACCTATTAAGGGCAGCGCACCGCGCGAGGAAGTTAGTGTGGCCAGCACCATGCCGTGGGATGTTCACTACCTCGCTTGGTATACAGGAGGTGGTGGGTTTGATCCCGACCCTGATGTCTGTATATTTGCATCTCTCTCTCTCTCTCTCCACACGTGTTTGCGTGGATTTTTTATTCGGGTCCTCCGGTTTTCCCCCCTCCGCATTTTCGATGAACATCACGCGTTTAGAGTATTTGGCTGAGAGAAATATCCACGTGATGAGCCACTTCCGTTGAACTCGCAAATGTGGCAAGTCAGCTTCCGAAAAAGAGCTACATAGCTCAGTGGGCCTTAACCTGGTGAAATAAAACATTGTTCGTTTTGTAGTTTTTAATAGAATTGCCGATGCTCATCGGACTTGGAGAGGAGACGCCGTCGCAAGACGGGGTGAGTCCGGGAACAGAACGGCGGCCAAAGGATGGAACGCGCCCGAGCGGACGGCCGTCAGAGAGACGGAGCGGCGAAATCCGCTCGTGCGCAGTGGAGCGACACGGATTGCGGCCTCGCGCTCTCTCGCGAGCGCCAGCGCAGCACCATGGGGAGGCCTTTGTCCAGCAGTGGATAGAGCGCGGCCGACAATGATCATGAATTCACTCGAGACGAACGATCCGGCTGTGGTGGCGCTGACCTGAGGTTTCTGGGGGTCTTTCTCTCCCAGGGGGATCCACTTCCCTTTGCGGATGATATAGCCACTCACCATCCGCCCTGTCCGACGTGGAGACAGACGCACAAAGGCAAAGGGTCCTCCCGTGCAACACACTTTTGGGGCAAGTGCCGTTAGCGCGCACTTTAGGAAGTCTTCTTGGTTCTTTCGGTAAAGTCACGTAGAAGGGAAATAATAAAATAATAATAATAAAACATAATAAAATAATTCTCACGACGTTTCGGCCACAACGCAAGCAGCCGTCCTCAGGTGAAGAACAGGTCTGTCGGAAAGACAGCGTCTGAATGATTTTATTATTTCCCTTCTACGTGACTTTACCGAAAGAACCAAGAAGATGAATCCCTGCAGTCACGAAAGCTTTAAAACCACTTTAGGAAGGTCGGCGCGGCACCCGAGGGAGTGGGTGGCCAGCACCGCGCCCGCCTGGCCGCCTTTGTCTCCCCAGTGGCGATGTTTACACACCCCCACAAGGTACTCATTTTAGGTCGAATCGACCTAGGGGAGGCCCAGGACCGATTCGTCGTCACTGGTGTTGGTGGCCTTGAGCGGGAATCGAATTTCGGGTCACAGCCGTGTTCGCAGCGTGGCGCGCTAACCCGCGACACCATCTCACTCCCCATCAGAGACGCACAGACAGACGGACGGATGGACGGATTGAGGCACAGAGAGGTGACAGAGGTGATGACACGGGGGCAATGCTCGCAGGGGTCACGGCGCTGAGTGAGAGGGAGAGTGTTGGCAGTCAGTGGACGTCACCGTCACGAACACAAACTTAGCAATAATAACGCTTCCGCTATGGGATTCACACTCCAGCGCACGCCAGCAAGGGATAGCGCTTCACGTTAGGGTCAGTATTAGGCATAAGCGGGTGGATGAAATGATTCTTCGCGGTGTAGCAGAGATAATGGTTTTGATCGTCACTCGCAGTGCACACGTTAGACTGGCTCGGGTACAAGGGCAGCCCTTCATCGGTCCACTGCTGGATGAGGATCTCCCCACTTGACCGGGCCTGGCCAGTGCAGATCGGTGAAGGTGGGGGAGCACAGAATGTGGGAACATAGAGGGTACAGCACAATAGCGCATGTTGCTCCATTGCCTTCTGCTGCCCACAATGCAACCCCGCAGCAGCAGCAGCCGCCAATAAAGCCGGTTTAGTCATGCATGGTGAGCTCCCATCCAAACTCAAACCTGCTTTAACACGTAGGAGGCTTTTGCGACCAATATTATACATAAGAGGCTTTTTTCGGGTTAGATCGCGTAAATATAAATTTGGTGTCGATAAACCCGCCACCACCACCACCCGACACAGCTAATCAGTAAGGGTTGTGTCACGTAAACAGAACGTGGCCAATTCGTTACTAGTTCAGCACTAACCAGTTGTGTGTTGGAGAGTAAACCCACTACACACACACATTTACAATTCGTTACTAGTTCAGCACTAACCGGTTGTGTGTTGGAGAGTAAACCCACTACACACACACACATTTACAATTCGTTACTAGTTCAGCACTAACCGGCTGTGTGTCGGAGAGTAAACCCACTACACACACACATTTACAATTCGTTACTAGTTCAGCACTAACCGGTTGTGTGTTGGAGAGTAAACCTACTACACACACACACATTTACAATTCGTTAGTAGTTCAGCACTAACCAGTTGTGTGTTGGAGAGTAAACGCACTACAACATTTACAATTCGTTACTCGTTCAGCACTAACCGGCTGTGTGTTGGAGAGTAAACCCACTACACACACACATTTACAATTCGTTACTAGTTCCGCACTAACCGGCTGCGTGTTGGAGAGTAAACCCACTACACACACACACAATTACAATTCGTTAGTAGTTCAGCAATAACCGGTTGTGTGTTGGAGAGTAAACCCACTACACACACACATTTACAACTCGTTACTAGTTCAGCACTAACCGGCTGTGTGTTGGAGAGTAAACCCACTACACACACTTTACGGTAAATGTTAATGTGGCAAACCTTACCGATTGGCTGTGTCGGGTGGTGGCGGTGGCGGGTTTATCGACACCACATTTATAATTACGCGATCTAACCCAACAAACCCCAACCCCCCACTTCTGTTATCAACCCTTGGTTATCTTCACCGACACGCGCAGGGACAAGGCGCGTCCCGCGCGGCCGCTGGCGGAGCCTCACCAAGGCTGTGGGTGTGCACGCGGTAGGCGAAGGGGTAGATGGGGTACTTGTGGCCGTAGGAGCACGCCACGTCCGCGTTGACGCCTGCGGGCAAAGTGACACAAAGCCGGTTTAACACTGTTATGGTTTAACACTGTTAAGGTTTAACACTGATATGGTTTAACACTGCTCTGGTTTAACAATGCTATGGTTTAACACTGATATGGTTTAACACTGTTATGGTTTAACACTGATATGGTTTAACACTGCTCTGGTTTAACAATGCTATGGTTTAACACTGTTATGGTTTAACACTGATATGGTTTAACACTGTTATGGTTTAACACTGATATGGTTTAACACTGTTATGGTTTAACACTGATATGGTTTAACACTGCTCTGGTTTAACAATGCTATGGTTTAACACTGATATGGTTTAACACTGTTATGGTTTAACACTGATATGGTTTAACACTGCTCTGGTTTAACAATGCTATGGTTTAACACTGATATGGTTTAACACTGTTCTGGTTTAACACTGATATGGTTTAACACTGCTCTGGTTTAACAATGCTATGGTTTAACACTGATATGGTTTAACACTGCTCTGGTTTAACAATGCTATGGTTTAACACTGATATGGTTTAACACTGATATGGTTTAACACTGATATGGTTTAACACTGATATGGTTTAACACTGTTCTGGTTTAACACTGTTCTGGTTTAACACTGCTCTGGTTTAACAATGTTATGGTTTAACACTGATATGGTTTAACACTGTTCTGGTTTAACACTGATATGGTTTAACACTGCTCTTGTTTAACAATGTTATGGTTTAACACTGATATGGTTTAACACTGTTCTGGTTTAACACTGTTCTGGTTTAACACTGATATGGTTTAACACTGTTCTGGTTTAACACTGTTCTGGTTTAACACTGCTCTGGTTTAACAATGTTATGGTTTAACACTGTTCTGGTTTAACACTGTTATGGTTTAACACTGCTCTGGTTTAACAATGTTATGGTTTAACACTGATATGGTTTAACACTGTTCTGGTTTAACACTGTTCTGGTTTAACACTGATATGGTTTAACACTGATATGGTTTAACACTGTTCTGGTTTAACACTGCTCTGGTTTAACAATGTTATGGTTTAACACTGATATGGTTTAACACTGATATGGTTTAACACTGATATGGTTTAACACTGTTCTGGTTTAACACTGTTCTGGTTTAACACTGCTCTGGTGTAACAATGTTATGGTTTAACACTGTTCTGGTTTAACACTGTTATGGTTTAACACTGCTCTTGTTTACCACTGCTCTGCTTAGCTTGCGAGACGTGATGAGACCGGGCGCACAGTCCAAGGCAATCTGCTGATAGGTTGTGTGCGTATGCACACGTACGTTGAACTTCTTTCGCACCGTACGTAGCCAACCGCGCTAATCGGAGGTTCCCCCTCGCCTCACGGCGGCAGCGCGATTAGTGTGAGCACTCACCATCCAGTCCGGGGGGGATCTCTACGTTGGGAGCCATGAGCATGTACATGCCAGCCAGCAGCGGCTGCCTGCAGGGGGAACGCAGGGGGGGGGGGGAGGGGGGGGTGGGGGAGGAAACACACGAGGGGACACACAGAGGGTGAGGGGGGGGGGACACACGGCGGGGGGGGGGGGCACATGGAGAGGTGGGGGACACACAGAGGGTGGGGGGGGGGACACACAGAGGGTGGGGGGGGGACACACAGAGGGTGGGGGAGAAAACACACGGGGGGGGACAGAGGGTGGGGGTGACACACACGGAGGGGGGGGGGGCACATGGAGGGGTGGGGGACACACAGAGGGTGGGGGAGAAAACACACGGGGGGGGGACAGAGGGTGGGGGGGACACACACGGAGGGGGGGGGGCACATGGAGGGGTGGGGGACACACAGAGGGTGGGGGGACACACACGGAGGGGGGGGGGCACGGAGGGGGGGGGCACACGGGGGGGGGATACATGGAGGGGGGGAACACACGCCACTCACTTTGGCAAACGCCATGCAGTAGGGCGATGTTCACCTTGCCATAGGGCTGTTATGTATTCTGTGGTGTTCATGTAGGTCTACGCTTAGCGGCTACGCGATACGGATGTGTAATTAACTAAACTATTAAACATTTTATTTTAAAAGGCAAGGCCCACTGAGCTACACAGCGTTTTTTTTAGAAGCGACCTGGCCACAAATGATAGCTCAACGAAGTGGCTTATCAACATCACGTGGAAAATGTGTAGCAGCCAAATGCTCTAAACGCGTGGCGATGTCGATATTTAGATTTAAAGCTTTCGTGACTGCAGGGATTCATCTTCTTGGTTCTTTCGGTAAAGTCACGTAGAAGGGAAATAATAAAATAATAAAAATAAAACATAATAAAATAATTCTCACGACGTTTCGGCCACAACGCAAGCAGCCGTCCTCAGGTGAAGAACAGGTCTGTCGAGAAGACAGAACCAAGAAGATGTCGATATTCTAAACGTGGAGGGGAAAACCGGAGGACCCGGAGAAAAATCCATGCGACCACGGCGAGAACACGCAAACTCAAAATATACAGCAGCAGGCGTCAGGGTCGGAATCGAACCCACGACCTCCTGTCTACCAGGCGAGGTAGTTAACATCTCGCCCTGTATATATACAGGCAGCGGTAGTGTAGCGGTTAGCGCGCCGTGCTTTGAACCCAACAACCCGAGTTCTATTCCCACTCATGACCATGACCGGTGACGATTATCTGCACTGATCCTGCGCTTCCTCTAGGTCGACTCAGCCTCAAATGAGTACCTGGTGTGGTGTGTAAACATCGCCACTAAGGGAGACAAAGGCGGACGGGCGTGGGGCTGGCCACCCACCCTCCTCGTCTGCCATGCCGACCTTCATAGGTGCTACTCACTAACAGCACTTGCCCCAACAGTCTGTTAAGGCTACATGGGGGGATCTTTGTCTTTGTTATAAATGCATGTGTAAGGCGGAGCACTAACCATGTGATCCGAGTTCAAATCCTACTCATGGCCAACATCGGTGACAAGCATCTTTAACGCATCCTAAGCCTTCGCTAAGATGAACTGAGCTAAATTTCGATTTAAAGCTTTCGTGACTGCAGGGATTCATCTTCTTGGTTCTTTCGGTAAAGTCACGTAGAATGGAAATAATAAAATAATAAAAAATAAAACATAATAAAATAATTCCCACGACGTTTCGGCCACAACGCAAGCAGCCGTCCTCAGGTGAAGAACAGGTCTGTCGGAAAGACAGCGTCTGAATGAGACGCTGTCTGAATGAGACGCTGTCTGAATGAGACGCTGTCTTTCCGACAGACCTGGTCTTCACCTGAGGACGGCTGCTTGCGTTGTGGCCGAAACGTCGTGGGAATTATTTTATTATGTTTTATTTGTTATTATTTTATTATTTCCATTCTACGTGACTTTACCGAAAGAACCAAGAAGATGAACTGAGCTGTACAGGGACACTTGATGCGGTGTGTAAACATACACACTGGGGAAGACATACGTGGCCGGGAATGTTTTTTGACCATCCACCACCTCGTGTTCCGTGCAGGCGCTCACGAACAGCGCTTGCAAGCGGATGTTCAAGCTATATGGGGGGGGGGGTCTTTGTATAGATGTGCTGTATGTGTCTGTATGTCCGATCGTAAGGGTGTTGTAACACTTACCAAAGGATTCTGTCACAAATTCACGTAAGGGGCCGTCCATAAATGACGTCACGCGATTTTGGACGATTTTTGACCCCCCCCCCCGATCCCGTCGCCACATGGCGTCACAAAAAGTCAGACCCCCCCCTTAAATATGACGTCACCAAGCTCTGCCGCCCCCCCCCCTTAAAAAAACATGCTTCAAATCGCTTTAAACTATTGTCATTGTAGTGCGTATTTGATGTGGTGCTGCACTCTGATGTTGTAGGAGAAAACATTTATCAAAAAGGCTATTGAATTAAGTAGAACGTGTTGTCTATATTTATTTAAAGTTGCGCATTTTGATGTGACGTCACATTTCTCAACCTCCCCCCCCCCCTCGTCACACATCGTCACAAATGTCTGACCCCCCCCCCCCACCCCCTAGGTGCGTGACGTCATTTATGGACGGCCCCTAACACCGCATAGTGATTTCGAATTATGCGTGCATATAAATGCGTGTATGTATGTGTGTACCTCCGATTGGAGTAGCTGGCGCATGTCAACCCACACGGTTTAGCCCGTTTTCTTGTGGCCTATTGAAACGGCGTACAGACGTTTCAATAGGGCACGAAGAAAATTGTCTATTTGTTTGTGTGTCTCACTTGTGATGGCAATTTTTTGGATGAACGTCGAGATTTAAAAGGGGCACGGGGTGACCAATGAGGTCTGAGTTGGTTGGTAATAAGGTAGGGCACTGATAAGGGGTTGACAGGTTTGTGTAAATAATAGCCACATTAAAAGAAGTTCAACATCCATCCATATCGAGAGGTGCACAGGACCGCATGTGGTGGGCTGGATGAACGAATCCCTGCACTCACCTGTCCATCGTCATGTGAAGATTCACTCCGGAGCAGTCCCCCGTGCGCCCACCTGTCCACACACAAACAAAGACAAAGATCCCCCGTGTAGCCTTAACAGACTGTTGGGGCAAGTGCTGTTAGTGAGTAGGACCTGTGAAGGCCGGCACGGCACACGAGGGGGTGGGTGGCCACCACCACGCCAGACCGCCTTTGTCTCCCCAGTGGCGATGTTTTTACACACCGCACCAGGTGCTCATTTGAGGCTGAATCGACCGAGGGGAGGCCGAGGATCGGTTTAGATAATCGTCACGCACACGCACACACAACGCGCCCGTCACCAATAACTTCGCTACCACCATTCTCTATCCACTGCTGCGAAGTCTGAAGCCGGAGCTCACCTCGTGTGAACGCGGAGATGGAGCCGTAGTGAACTTGCAGCACCAGGTACCCGATCTGACTGTGTCCGCCCACCATGTAGCCCACGCCTGCAGCACAAAGACAAATGTCACCCGTGTAGCCTTTACAGACTGTAAGGGGCAAGGGCCGTTAGCGAGCACCTACGGAAGAAGGCCGGCACGGCACACGAGGGGTTGGTGTGAACCATGGCTGGCCGCCTTTGTCTCTCGAGTGGCGATGTTTACACACACCAAACCAGGTACTCCTTTGAGGCTGAGTCGACCTAGGAGGAGGACCAGGACTGATTCAGATAATCATCAAAAGTGTTGGTGGCCGTGAACGGGAATCGAACCCGTGTCGCCAGATTCGTAGCGCAGTGTGCGAACCGCTACGCTACCGCTCCCCACAGACACACACACTCAGTACGCTCTAGCCGCTTAAATATCTGGGAAAACCAATGGTGGTCTCGTTCACAGACCTACGAAGAGACATCTACCGAAGCGACCGTCGGTCGTGTAGGAGTTAACACCGTCTCACACACTGCATGTTCTGACCCACATCTCAGTGTCACCCCCTCGAATGCGTGGGGTTTGTGTGCGGCTTTTTCCCGCATACAGACAAAACACACTGATTTCATAAGAACAGGTCGAACGTGCAAATGTAGTGCCGGACTGAAAATTATTCTTGAGACTCACCGTGGCATTGTTATTTTTTTCTCCGTGTGTGCCTGGCACGGTGGGTGTACTAGGCGGCACAGTAGTCGACCCATGGCACCTACTGGGTCTGCCCCCTGACCTCCTGTCAGCGGGCGTTCGACACTTCAAGTGGCGTTAACATGCACATAGCCTAGTGGTGACATCACCGCCACTTAGTGATGAATGGCGGTTGTTGTTGTTGTACCAGGCGGCAGGCGAGTGGCCGGGGCGTCGTGTGCCCACGAGTAAACGATCTTCGCTTCGTCAGCACAGGGACCTGCGCGGGAGCCACAGTTCCTGGGGGCGGGTGGAGCGGGGTGGCAGGGTCAGTGGTACACAGGGCATGAGGCTACCAGCCACTACTGGGATACAGGGCATGAACTAGAGACTGATGGGGTCTCTAGACAATAGACTGACAGACTGGTCTCTGATGGGGTCTCTAGACAATAGACTGACAGACCGGTCTCTGATGGGGTCTCTAGACAATAGACTGACAGACCGGTCTCTGATGGGGTCTCTAGACAATAGACTGTCAGACCGGTCTCTAATGGGGTTTCTAGACAATAGACTGACAGACTGGTCTCTGATGGGGTCTCTAGACAATAGACTGACAGACTGGTCTCTGATGGAGTCTCTAGACAATAGACTGTCAGACCGGTCTCTGATGGAGTCTCTAGACAATAGACTGACAGACCGGTCTCTGATGGAGTCTCTAGACAATAGACTGACAGACCGGTCTCTGATGGAGTCTCTAGACAATAGACTGACAGACCGGTCTCTGATGGAGTCTCTAGACAATAGACTGACAGACCGGTCTCTGATGGAGTCTCTAGACAATAGACTGACAGACCGGTCTCTGATGGAGTCTCTAGACAATAGACTGACAGACCGGTCTCTGATGGAGTCTCTAGACAATAGACTGACAGACCGGTCTCTGATGGGGTCTCTAGACAATAGACTGACAGACTGGTCTCTGATGGAGTCTCTAGACAATAGACTGTCAGACCGGTCTCTGATGGAGTCTCTAGACAATAGACTGACAGACCGGTCTCTGATGGAGTCTCTAGACAATAGACTGACAGACCGGTCTCTGATGGAGTCTCTAGACAATAGACTGACAGACCGGTCTCTGATGGGGTCTCTAGACAATAGACTGACAGACCGGTCTCTGATGGGGTCTCTAGACATTAGACTGACAGAATGGTCTCTGATGGGGTCTCTAGACAATAGACTGACAGAATGGTCTCTGATGGGGTCTCTAGACAATAGACTGTCAGACCAGTCTCTGATGGGGTCTCTAGACAATAGACTGACAGACCAGTCTCTGATGGGGTCTCTAGACATTAGACTGACAGACCGGTCTCTGATTGGGTCTCTAGACATTAGACTGACAGAATGGTCTCTGATTGGGTCTCTAGACATTAGACTGACAGAATGGTCTCTGATGGGGTCTCTAGACAATAGACTGACAGAATGGTCTCTGATTGGGTCTCTAGACAATAGACTCACAGACTGGTCTCTGATTGGGTCTTTAGACAATAACAAAGCAAGGTAGATACCAGTATAGCTTGGAAGATGCCGGTAGTTCACAGCCGAACAGAAGCATGTGGTGTGTCACGCCTGGCACGGCCTGAGGTTCGAAGTCGACTGTGGGATGTGGAGGACAGGGACGGGATAGGGGAAGGTCATCACAGGCAGGAACATTTCTATTGTGAATTGTATTATCATTCAACAATGTTTTGTTAACCAAAATTTAAATCTGATCTTAACACAGACACAGTTTAAAATGTCGTCTCCGGGTACATGATTCGTTGAAATCTTTTTACGGTCCACTAATACACGGCCATTCCGTTTCGATGTTTCAATCAATGTTTGAAATGCCATGCTTTAACATTTTCATGAAAAGGACATGCACCATGATAATGTGAGCATGTGAGCATACACCAACTGGTGTCCCCATGAGCTTGAGCGTTCTGTGTCACATTTACAAGTGTGCTTGTCACCAACATACATCGTCAACGATTCCCAGTGCGTGCAAATACGTGGCCTTATTTTTAGTTACCATGCACTGTAATAGGATCAAATGAATCCGCGACAGAATTAATGATAAATTATGCTCATGTTTTAGGCTCTTGTATGGAGTTATTTGGCGTGGCTTTGCCCATATCAGGAATACCGGAACGGGAATGGACGTATTTTTTTACGATCCAATGCACAATAAAACAAGAATCAACCGATTTTCTTCATTACAATTCAACCCGTGTATATGTTGGCGCATGGAGCAAGCATGGATCAATGTGGCATATTTTGAATACAAATGCTATAATCGTTAGTCATTCCTTTCACATGACTTCTAGATCAAAAGAGACGATTTGTCAATCGGAGAAAGCCCCACATTAGGCCGCCCGTTGATGCTGATTGGCTTCCTTCGACATTAACATAATGTATCATTCTTTCTCTCGCGGATTCATTTCATCCTGTTGCAGCACCTTGACTCTTGCAAACTCTCAGCTGCTGCTGCCGCTGTAAGGACCCAACAACGATCGGCTAAGCAGACACTTCCAGCGTCTCCAAAAGACAGCCACGTCGCCCGAGTCGTGAGCCTGGCCCCGCCTCTGGCGAGCTCCTCCACGCCTGGCAGAGGTCGCAAACGGGTTTTGATTCCTTACCCGTACCCGTACCCGGCTGCACCAGGGTCGCAAACGGGTACCCGTACCTGTACCCGGCCGTACCCGTACCCTACCCGGGCCGGGTACGGGTAGGGTACGGGTATCGGGTACCTGATTGCGACCTCTGGGATGAAGCCATGTTGCAGGCGCGGGTGGGTTGATTCTAGCAACTTGAATTGTGAGAAGAGACAAGACGTTGGGAAATGAGTGACAAACGGTGACTCACCAGTGACTCACGGCCTACCCGTACCCGGCCGCAGCAGGGTCGCAAACGGCTACCCGTACCCGGCTGGGTACGGGTAGCCAGGTATCGGGTAGGGTACGGGTATCGGGTACCCGGTTGCGACCTCTGACACCTGGCGAAGGAGCCCGCGGCTGCTCACCGGTGCAGGAGAGGGTCTAGGTGAAGATCGAGGTACTCGCTTGTATAGCAAAGACGACCAACCGGTCAACCAACCTACCTGGGTGATGCCATCCACCCAAAGGTACCATCACGACACATACGCTAATCTGTTGTGGACCTGCTACTGCTGCTGCTCAATGTGAAATCAACCCGGTCTAGAACAGCAGAACACAGCTTTTCATCTGCAGCTCTGGTGATCTGGAGCAGTCTCCGCCAACTGAAGTCCGCTATTCAGTAAATATTTTTGTTTGCCGACGATGGCGCTCGTTACAAATCTCGCATTGATCAATGCATATTTCCCCACGAATGCCGAGCGTACACCCTTAGATTCCGCGGCGCGTGCGTGCGTGTGTCCGTGTGCGTGCGTGTCTGTGCGCGCGCGTGTACCGATGTAGGACAGCTGCTTGGCCGGCATGGGGACGGCCGTGCAGAGATATGTGTCGGCCTGCGAGAGCAGGAGAGAGAGAAAACTCGGTGAATAATACAGAACATCCAGCTCCGAGTCACCGATGCTTTTTTGTGTTTTTTACTGGGTGCCATTGTGAACGACAGCCGTACATCATTGGTTCACTGCAGCTCTAAGACTCTCAGTCGTCCCCACAAGGTGCGTGCAGGGAAGTTGGAAGCTGTCCCGTGTATGGGTGTGCGTGCTCGGCATTTGAGGGCCTGAAGACCAGAATCGGTGATCTCGCCGACAATGTGCTCATCAGGGAGGCAGTTCCATATCCGGACAGCGGAGTGAATTTGGGAGCTTTTGTCCCAGGGAGCATGTTCTGGTAACTGCTCAGCAATTCCATTCCTCATTGGCCACCGCTCATTATGCGGCATTGATAATACTTTTTGGTTCTTTCGGTAAAGTCACGTAGGTATAAAATAAAATAAATCACGACATTTCGGGCGCAACACAAGCCATCATGACGGACGCTTGTGTTGCAATCGTAACGTCGTGATTTATTATATTTTCTACCTACGTGACTTTACCGAAAGAACCAAAGAGTATGGATTCCTGCAGTCACGAAAGCTTCAAATCAGCATTGATACTGTTTGTTTTTGGTGGAGGACTGATAATAGTTATTTTATTTTTGAAACAACAACGGCGAGTTATTTGGTGCCCCTGCTGCTGCTGCATTGGCAGTGCTGCACAAGAGCGGAGCACAAAGAAACTTAACGCTGGCATCAATCATGGCTTTATTTTGGTGATATTCGATCACTTTTTTGGTTTGGCCATGTTTGTTTGTTGTAGTACAGAGTTAGACTGATGGCCTTAATCTAAGTTGTCTTGTGGTTGTTGTTGTTTGACTTGCATCCCACTGGGATTTTTGCACATTTTTGTGTACGGTGCTTTTTCTGCAATATTTTACTGTCTTTTCTTGGATTTTCTGTTTGCACTCAGTCACATATTCACTTTAAGATGTTTTTTGTTCATGTTTTAGTTTTTTGTTTGTTGCGGTTGCACCCGATTCAAGAGCCGAATGGCTCACAGGGCTATACCTAATAAATGAACTTGGACTTGAAGCATGCCCTGGGACCCTCTTCAAAACACGTGGAACATTGCTCAAATGTTGTTGCCGCTAAACGTTTCCCTGTGCTCACCTGGCGAGGGCGAACGTCGGGCATGTTCACGGCGAGTTCAAAGTCCGAGCGACTCCTCGGGGTCAGGCGGTGGTTGCCCTGGCAGTGGCCGTCCGCCAGCGAGCTGGAGAAAAACGACAGCACGGTGCAGAGACAAAGCACCTATGAAGGCCGACACAATACATGACAGCTGAACACACATGCACAGCACACACACACAGTGCACACACACAGTGCACACACACAGCGGACACACACACACAGTGCACACACACAGCGCACACACATCACTTCCCCCATCACTACCCCGATTACAACCCTTTCACTACCCCTGTCACTACCCCCATCACTACCCCAACCCCTACCCGAAACCCTCTTGTCACCATAATTACACCACAACCTCTCACAACCACACTCTTTATTACCTCAACCACTATAATCTTATCTGCAATCGTTATAATTGTTGTAAAGCTCATTTGGAATAAGGCGCTGCTATATAAATCCATAGAAGGTATTAGTTAACTGAACTAAACTATATATTTTGTATTTTACCAGGTCTAAGGCCCACTGAGCTGTAGAGCTCTGTTTTAGAAGCCACCTGGCCACAAAGGATAGCTCAACGAAGTGGGCTGATCACGTGGACATTTATAGAAGCAGCCACATACTCTTAGACGCGTGATGTTAATTCTAAATGTGGAGAGAAAAACCGGAGGGCCCGGAGAAAAATCCACGCGACCACGGGGAGAGAGACACGCAAACTCCAAATATACAGCAGCAGGCGTCGTCAGGGTCGGGATCGAACCCACAACCTCTTGCATACCAGGCGAGGAAGTTGACATCTCCTAGTCACCGTGATGATGATGATGAGAAAGAGACACGCAAACTCCAAATATACAGCAGCAGGCGTCGTCAGGGTCGGGATCGAACCTACGACCTCCTGCATACCAGGCGAGGTAGTTAACATCTCCTAGCCACCGTAAAGATGATGAGAGAGAGACACGCAAACTCCAAATATACAGCACCAGGTGTCGTCAGGGTTGGGATCGAACCCACCACGACCTCCTGCATACCAGGCGAGGAAGTTAACATCTCCTAGCCAACGTGATGATGATGAGAGAGAGAGAGACACGCAAACTCTAAATATACAGCAGACGTCGTCAGGGTCGGCATCGAATCCACGACCTCCTGCATATCAGGCGAGAAAGTTAACATCTCCTAGCCACCGTGATGATGATGAGAGAGAGAGAGACACGCAAACTCCAAATATACAGCAGGCGTCAAGGTCGGGATCGAACTCACGTACTCCTGCATACCAGGCGAGGTAGTTAACATCTCATAGCCACCGTGATGATGATGAGAGAGAGACACACAAACTCCAAATATACAGCAGGCGTCAGGGTCGGGATCGAACTCACGACCTCCTTCATACCAGGCGAGGAAGTTAACATCTCATAGCCACCGTGTTGATGATGATGAGAGAGAAGACACGCAAACACCAAATATATAGCAGGCGTCAGGGTCGGGATCGGACTCACGACCTCCTGTATACCACGCGAGGAAGTTAACATCTCATAGCCACCGTGGCGCCCTAACACAAAGCTCGTGCATACTGATGATGACTTCACTGTCTCATCGATGGAACCCCCCGCACCAGAGGTCGCAAACGGATTTTGATTCCTTACCCGTACCCGTACCCGGCCGCACCAGGGTAGCAATCGGATACCCGTACCCTACCCGATACCTGCCTGCCTGTACCCGGCCGGGTATCGGGTAGGGTACGGATATCGGGTACCCGGTTGCGACCTCTGGGATGAAGTCATGTTGCAGGCGCGGGTGGGTTGATTCTAAGAACTTGAATTGTGAGAAGAGACAAGACGTTGGGAAATGAGTGACAAACGGTTACTCACCAGTGACTCACGGCCTACCCGTACCCGTACCCGGCCGCACCAGGGTCGCAAACGGGTACCCGTACCCGGCTGGGTACGGGTAGCCGGGTATCGGATAGGGTACGGGTATCGGGTACCCGGTTGCGACCTCTGCCCCGCAACCCCACCCACCGGCTCTGGAGGATGGAGCTGGTGGAGCAGTCCGGCCCCAGCACGGCCGCCGTGACGAGCGCGAGACAAAGGAGCGGCCGAGCCATCGCCACCTCACCCCGGCGCTCTCCCCGACTCCGAATCTCCTGGCCTCCGAGCTCTCCTCAGCCGCCGCCTCCCTGTGAACGGAACGCAAGACGATGTGCTAACACGCGGCTACTTCCAGGCTGCTTCGTCTTCTTCTTGTCGTATGGCTGATGTAGGGCGCTGCGGTGGCGAGATGTTAACTACCTCGCCTGGCATACAGGAGGTCGTGAGTACAATCCCGACCCTGACGCCTGCTGTGTATTTGGAGTTTGCGTGTCCCGCTCCTCGTGGTCCCGTGGATTTTCTCCATGTCCTTTTCCTCCAAATGTATAAACACGTGTTTAAAATGTTTGCCTGCTATCCATTTCATTGAGCTATCATTTGTGGCCAGGTTGACTTCTGAAAAATAAAGAGCGACATAGCTCAGTGGGCCTTACCTGGTAAAATAAAAAATAAATTTTTTAAACAAATTTATGCGCAGCCAACAATTACAATGTCACATTCACGTGGTCATGCCAGACAATCGCGTCAGGAGCAGCGGTGTATCGCCGCCGTGATGTCTCCTTCGTACTTATGTATCGGAGCATTGCGTCCTTACACGTTGCACTACGGTCTGTTCTCGGTCAGGGGACCCCAACCCCCGGTCCGTGGCCTGTTAGGAACCGGGCCGCACAGCAGCAGGAGGCGAGAGCGGTGAGTCCGTGTGTGTGTACACACTCTACACACCGCATAGTGGTGAGCGGTGAGTCCGTGTGTGTACACACTCTACACACCGCATAGTGGTGAGCGGTGAGTCCCTGTGTGTGTGCACACTCTACACACCGCATAGTGGTGAGCGGTGAGTCCCTGTGTGTGTGCACACTCTACACACCGCATAGTGGTGAGCGGTGAGTCCCTGTGTGTGTGCACACTCTACACACCGCATAGTGGTGAGCGGTGAGTCCCTGTGTGTGTGCACACTCTACACACCGCATAGTGGTGAGCGGTGAGTCCCTGTGTGTGTGCACACTCTACACACCGCATAGTGGTGAGCGGTGAGTCCCTGTGTGTGTGCACACTCTACACACCGCATAGTGGTGAGCGGTGAGTCCCTGTGTGTGTGCACACTCTACACACCGCATAGTGGTGAGCGGTGAGTCCCTGTGTGTGTGCACACTCTACACACCGCATAGTGGTGAGCGGTGAGTCCCTGTGTGTGTGCACACTCTACACACCGCATAGTGGTGAGCGGTGAGTCCGTGTGTGTACACACTCTACACTCTACACACCGCATAGTGGTGAGCGGTGAGTCCCTGTGTGTGTGCACACTCTACACACCGCATAGTGGTGAGCGGTGAGTCCCTGTGTGTGTGCACACTCTACACACCGCATAGTGGTGAGCGGTGAGTCCCTGTGTGGTGCACACTCTACACACCGCATAGTGGTGAGCGGTGAGTCCGTGTGTGTACACACTCTACACACCGCATAGTGGTGAGCGGTGAGTCCCTGTGTGTGTGCACACTCTACACACCGCATAGTGGTGAGCGGTGAGTCCCTGTGTGTGTGCACACTCTACACACCGCATAGTGGTGAGCGGTGAGTCCCTGTGTGTGTACACACTCTACACACCGCATAGTGGTGAGCGGTGAGTCCCTGTGTGTGTGCACACTCTACACACCGCATAGTGGTGAGCGGTGAGTCCCTGTGTGTGTACACACTCTACACACCGCATAGTGGTGAGCGGTGAGTCCGTGTGTGTACACACTCTACACACCGCATAGTGGTGAGCGGTGAGTCCGTGTGTGTACACACTCTACACACCGCATAGTGGTGAGCGGTGAGTCCGTGTGTGTACACACTCTACACACCGCATAGTGGTGAGCGGTGAGTCCGTGTGTGTACACACTCTACACACCGCATAGTGGTGAGCGGTGAGTCCGTGTGTGTACACACTCTACACACCGCATAGTGGTGAGCGGTGAGTCCGTGTGTGTACACACTCTACACACCGCATAGTGGTGAGCGGTGAGTCCGTGTGTGTATACACTCTACACACCGCATAGTGGTGAGCGGTGAGTCCGTGTGTGTACACACTCTACACACCGCATAGTGGTGAGCGGTGAGTCCGTGTGTGTACACACTCTACACACCGCATAGTGGTGAGCGGTGAGTCCGTGTGTGTACACACTCTACACACCGCATAGTGGTGAGCGGTGAGTCCCTGTGTGTGTACACACTCTACACACCGCATAGTGGTGAGCGGTGAGTCCGTGTGTGTACACACTCTACACACCGCATAGTGGTGAGCGGTGAGTCCGTGTGTGTACACACTCTACACACCGCATAGTGGTGAGCGGTGAGTCCCTGTGTGTGTGCACACTCTACACACCGCATAGTGGTGAGCGGTGAGTCCCTGTGTGTACACACTCTACACACCGCATCGTGGTGAGCGGTGAGTCCGCACGTGGCCCGCCCCCATTGTTTTATTATTTACCACTTCCATCCGCGCCTCTTTCCCGCACTGCGCACTTGTCTCAGTCACAGTGTTGGCGAGTCCACAAGCTGCTAACTCCTAGTAGCCAAAACAACGTCGGCTGGAGAGCTTCTTTGAAAAGAGGGAAAGACCCAATGATGACCCCCCCGCCCCCCCGTCCGTGAATAAATTGTCTTCCACGAAACCGGTCCCTGGTGCCAGAAAGGTTGGGGACCGCTGTTCTAGATGACCACAGTCGCACCACGACTACTGGAGAGTTTTAATTCTAGATTTGAATTTTTCGTGACTGCAAGGATCTCTTTGGTTTTTTCGATAAAGTCACGTAGGTGAAAAAATTATAAAATAAAAAATAAAATAAACGAAACGTCGTGATTTAATTTAGTTATTTTTATTTTAAATTTTATTCTTATATTTTAACTTAAATATTTTTCTTTTATTATTTTTTCACCTACGTGACTTTACCGAAAGAACCAAAGAGTATTGAGAGTTTTATTTTTATTTTCCATGTGTGCATCCTCAGGTGTCCGCATCTGCTGCTGCCATGGTTCGTGCAGCGGATGCGGTTTCGGGTATGGACCGTGAGCTTCGTGGAAGATCAAAGCCAGGAGATCTTCTGCGCTGGGACCCGAAATGGAGACGACTCAAAATGATAATGAGCGTCACTGTGGAGATTATAAATAACAAAACAGACTGTATTCATATTCTTGGTTCTTTCGGTAAAGTCACGTAGAAGGGAAATAACAAAATAATATAAATAGAAAACAATAAAAAAAATTATCACGACGTTTCGACTGCAACACAAGCAATCATCATCAGGTGTGAAATCCACAGCAAGAACATTTGAAAAAAGTGCCGGTTTTTCCTAACGTCAGCATCAGACTGTCTCCTTCACGTGCCTGTTTCCGCATATTCGATAATGTTGTGAAAGACGGATATGCGAATATACATGTATGTATGTATGTGAAGGAAGACAACGCCTGCTTATTTGATTAATTAGTTACATTATTTATATATATTCTCCACAACGATGCTAATGATAATTTTGAGTTGTGTGTATTGTATCATTTTGCACCGACCCATGGACCCCATAACGTAAGGGAAGAGGATCCTTGCCTGTAAGATCGGCGATTCCACCGGCATCGATTCAAGCATGCCCTGACACTGCTGATGAGACACTGCGTGTCAAAACCGGTGAGGAGCTTGCTTTGACTTGAAACAATGCTGCCGAAATTGTGCACTCCCCATATGGCCGCGCGGCTGATGGATTGCGTTCAAGAATAATTTTTGCATGTGGAGATACAGACATGTAAAGGAGACGTCTCCTGTCTGAATGTTTTGCTCATGGGGTTGAGTGTCGGCCTATTGATTCTTAGAGCAGGGAGACACTTTGAGCATCATTGCCATCTTCAAGATGGAAACGACAGCCGTTGATCTTTCACTTACGTATGGAGAGCGGTCGTGTGATGTGTCGAGAGAGAGAGAGCTCTCCATGGTGCTGATCTACTAAGAGGAACTGTTTCTTCTTATTCACACTGTGTTCAACCACAGTGTGAACTCATCCACTCACCCACCCACTCACTCACCACACTGCAGCTCACAAAAACATACCCACTCACCACAACGCAGGTCACAACAACACACCCACCCACCTATCCACCCACTCACTCACCACACTGCAGCTCACAAAAACATACCCACTCACCACAACGCAGGTCACAACAACACACCCACCCACCCACCTATCCACCCACTCACTCACCACACTGCAGGTAACAACAACACACCCACCCACTCACTCACACTGCAGGTCACAACAACACACCCACTCACTCACTCACCACACTGCAGGTCACAACAACACACCCACTCACTCACTCACCACACTGCATGTCACAACAACACACCCACCCACTCACTCACACTGCAGGTCACAACAACACACCCACTCACTCACTCACCACACTGCAGGTCATAACAACACACCCACCCACTCACTCATCACACTGCAGGTCACAACAACACACCCACCCACTCACTCACCACACTGCAGGTCACAACAACACACCCACTCACTCACCACACTGCAGGTCACAACAACACACCCACCCACTCACCACACTGCAGGTCACAACAACACACCCACCCACTCACCACACTGCAGGTCACAACGACACACCCACTCACTCACCACACTGCAGGTCACAACGACACACCCATCCACTCACTCACCACACTGCAGGTCATAACAACACACCCATCCACTCACTCACCACACTGCAGGTCACAACAACACACCCACTCACTCACTCACCACACTGCAGGTCATAGCAACACACCCATCCACTCACTCACCACACTGCAGGTCACAACAACATACCCACTCACTCACTCACCACACTGCAGGTCACAACAACACACCCACTCACTCACCACACTGCAGGTCACAACAACACACCCACTCACTCACTCACCACACTGCAGGTCATAACAACACACCCACCCACTCACTCACCACACTGCAGGTCACAACAACACACCCACCCACTCACCACACTGCAGGTCACAACAACACACTCACTCACCACACTGCAGGTCACAACAACACACTCACCCACTCAC